CAGGACCAGAGCAAAGTGGCCAGATGTGAAACCTAAACCTTTTAAAGACAAACTTCAAATCTCGTCCTGCCTTCAACACGCCCCATCCACAGCCGTGAACAGGTTCAGGCTGTGTGCTTAGCAAAACCTAATTATTATTAACAGCCATTTACATTTCAGAAATCAGAGGCTGATGTGTCCGAGGTCACGGCATCAGTGAACTTATCCTTATATCTGTTGGAGAGGCTGCTCAGTAAATGTAACCAGACAGTCAGAGGAGAGTTTGGCCTGAGGATGCCTCTGAGGACAGGGACAGCGGATGGAGGATTAAACAGATGGAATAATTCCCAGAGTTTGTCCGTTTATTGAGGCTCAGGTGAGTGACGTGATGCCATCAGCTGTCAGTGCACGCTGCTCAGCACCGTACTGGTGAGCTTGCTCCACCTCCTCTGGCTCAGCAGTTTGCGATTCTGCTGAACCTTGACCCGAACATCAAACACCTCCTGGATGGCCGTCTTGAAACAGTGAAAGTTGTAATCAATCAGCCCTGTGAGGGAGAGAAGGAAGACCGAGTCAGATCTGTCAGAGAAGACAAGAAAGGACGTTGATTTCTACAACAGGTGCACCATCAACAGATATCACAGACATGCTTTAAAGGGAACCTGGAACCATCTCACACAACCTGAGCAGGTCTATCGCTGACTGTGCATACTGAGCATGTCTGTGCATATATCATACAGCAGCTGTTTGTATTCATGCTGCTCTCTGCAGCTTCCCTTCAGCAGGTGTGTTTCTGTCTTGGTGTGTGTGGTAGTGATGTATGGATGCCATATTACAGACGGCTGTGAACTACAAAGTGTGTTTTTGGCTGTTTAATGTCCTTTAAACTATTGGTGCTGTTCCATTCCCACAGCGTGATCACATCACATGACACCAGGAATAAAAACCAGAGCAGGCGAGCAGCTTCAGGTAACTGTTGTAGTCCTTTACTGTCCTCTTCTGGGAGAGAAACTACAGTCAGAATGGCATTTTATTGATTTATAGCTGCAAGAGACGCCATATTCTGCTCTTTGCTAACTGGCTGCTAGCCTGTGCTAAGCTCAGGTAAAGGAGACATTTCAAACAGTGGTTGAATCACACGGTTGGTTTCTGACGAACACACAAACATACGACTTCTTCACCAGACTGACCTTTCCTGTCGAAGCTCTCCTTGCGGAGGAAGCAGACCATGGCGAGGAACTTGGTGACCTCCTTCAGGTACATGACCGTGGTGTTGTTCAGGTGGATGATGGCCATGGACTCCTTGTCATAGGGTAAACCAGCTTCACTGTTTTCTAGACTGGAGCAGAAGAGACACAGTAGACGCCAGCATGAGAAGTGTGAACAACCACAGAAACATGAGAGCAGATCGATGTCAGACAGTTCACCTCTGAAACACTCCAATGGACCAAACCAAACAGAAGGCCGGCCTGAGTGGACGTAAAGATGGTAGAAAACAGATCTGTGACATAAGATTACACTTCTGGTGGCAGGTTCACGAGTAAAGCTCACATAAAACCTGAAGATGTGGGTAAGATGAACGACTAGAAGATGTAGGGTTAGGATCTCCCCCAGAATGGACTCAGTGAATCCATCCTGAGGAAAACCAAACCTTAGGAGAAGAGGAGATAGTCACAGTGGCCTCCCGACCGTTCTCTCCTCCAAACACAGCTTCCTATCCCACATTTAATTGAATAATTTCAATCTGAAAATGAAGGAAGTTCGACATCACCGAGTGATGATCCCAACATCTGGACTGAGTCTGTGTTCCAGGTCATCAGGACCAGAACTGAGGAAGAACATATTGAATCTTAGGTATTTGTAGAAGATGCACAAACAGGTAGTCGTAGTTAATACATGTTCTTGTATATTTGTTGTCAGTTCGACCGTTTATTTCTTTGTTTGAACTGAAACCAGAGTTCAAGAGTTTCCACTNAGTGGCTCCCTGTAAAATCCAGGATAGAATCTAAATCCTGCTTCTAACATATAAACTCTCCATGAGCAGCTCCATGTGACCTTACAGACCTCATGGTACCGTGTCATCCTAACAGAACCCTTTGCTCTCAGACTGCAGGTCTGCTGGTGGTTCATGTGTTGATCAGTTCAAAAAGAAGATTTCTGAATTATATGAAAACATCATGAGGAGATGATTCTTGTTTGTGGTGACTTCAGCACTTATTTATTAACAATCTAATGATCAAATGAAAACCAGAGTTTGTTAATATCATGTTTAGTTTCAGTTTCCATCCGTTTATTATAAAACTGAGCAGAATAACCAAAGACTGATTGATAATATATTGTTAATGTAACCGATGTGAAAACAGTGAGTGGATTATTACTGACTGATGTGAGGCATCATCTGTTTGAAATGAAGAAAAAGTTAAAGTAGGAACACATACACAGACTAGTAACTTATATTATATTTATATTTCTGTTAATACTATTGACATGTCACACATCCCCCAGACTCATGGAGAAGCTCCTCCTCCTCGGCCTGGACACCACCACATGTCTCCGGGTCCTGGACTTTCTGACTGAAAGACTCCAGCCTGTCGGGATCGGAAAGAACATCTCCAACTCCATCACGCTGAGCTCTGGATCTCCTCCAGACTGTGTGCTCAGTCCACTGTTGTCACTGCTGACACTCGACCGTGCAGCCACACATGAGGAGATCCAGACCATCACGCTGCTGATGGTACCACAGTGGTGGGACTCATTCACCAGAACAAAGAACCAATGAACAGAGATGAAGTGAAACCCCAGAGGGCTGGTGCAGCGAGAACAACCTGCTGCTCAGCGTGGACAAAACCAAGGAGATGATCATCGACTTCTGGAGGTCACGTCCTGNGATCAGGTCTAAGGCTTCGATACAAGCAGCTTGTTGAATTCTGAATTCAATGGCTATGAATTCACGGAGGAACAGGTGTGCTCCTGTCGAGGTCTACGAACATCTCACCTTGATAACAGTAGAATGCTTTATTACAAGTCTGAATGTAAATCAAATAATTCCACCTTCTGTTTTCAAAAATGTAACAAACAAGCAGAGAAGCTGCTGATGGTCACAACATTGATCAGGAGCCTTATAACAGCAGCAGCAAGTGTGAACTGAACTTAACACAGCTCTGGTGTTTCTACACTGACACGTCTGCTTATTGGTCAAGTTAATACTGACTGGTTTATTGTTGGTGCACAAGTGAGGGCAACATAACACACAGAGCTTCTAGTCAGCGTTTAAACATCACATGGATACGCAGGAGACTGCATTTATTCTTCTGACTATAAAACAGAAAGCTTCATATAATCTGCTGCTTAGAACTGGTATTTAGAACCGGACTGCAGGTTCAAGCTTTTAGTCATTCTGACAAAAACAAACAAACAAAAAGGGATTTAGACGACCAGAGAATTCAGACATTAGAGGAGCTGCTGGCATCATGTGTCGTCACAGCCGGCTTCATTACAGTTCTAGTACATGTGGTGCTTTGCTGAAATAAAAGCTCTTCCACTCACCTCCAAACGCTGGCCTCATGGTGAAGTCGTGATCATCTACTTTGAGCAGATGCTCTGTCTTCACTTTGCGGGACTTGGTCACATCTGGAGGTTTCTTTGTGATGGAGCTGGAGGAAGATGGGATTCATTATCAAACAGCTGACTGAAGACCTGTTTGGTTGTTATGTGATCAGAAACGATGCCCGACAAACATGCGTAGATTGATCACTTCCTGTGTGCAGGTATGACCACAACCTGCTGCACTGCTTCAACAAGAACAAACGGGGAATCATTTTAACTCTCCAAACCTCCAAAAACATTAAAAAACAGGATGTCTGTTATCTATCCTTAGTGGTGAAGCTGTTTGGACCTCATGCTGACGTAGTGATGCCCTCCGTGTGCTGATGTGAGCACAGCTTGTAAACTGACTTTATGTCAGCTGATGAACTCATTGTTCAGATTTAAACAGTCGTGCGGTCAGAAGTGGCTCTCAGGATGACATCTCCTGCACAGAAGTTCAGACTTTAACGGTTTCTGTTCACCAAACCAGTAAAGGAGAGCATCAGCCATCAAACAGTTCAAAGCCTTTCCAGCACTTTAATGCATCTTTAACTGCCTGCACATGGAGCAGCTGTCATTGAGCTCTGCTGTCTTTTCATAATTGTGCTTCCCCCCTAAATACCACAGCATGTAATCCATGAGCACCATCATCCTCAAGCATCTTAAACCAGCGTCCACAGACCCGGTTAGAGAGCTGGAGTCCACATTAGGCAGCACATCTGATGTCTGATGCATCCTGCCTGTTATGTAAAGCAGCAGCATTCACTTCCTGTTACCAGTCAACAGGTTTCACACATTCACACATGCAGAACGTGTACTTACGTGCCATGCTTTTGGTTCTCCACGGTACCGGTCCATCTCCGCACCCGGTGACCGTACTTACGGCATTCCCCGGAAAGAACCAGACAGAAAAGCAAAAGTAGAGGTTTTGTCAAATAAGGCATCCTGACAGCACAAGTCCACAGGTGAGAGCGTCAGAAGCCCCTTTCAGAGGGTTCATTCCAGCCGGGCTCAGCAGGCGCTGCATCATGGTTCTGAGCAGACGATGGAGCCTTCGTCAGGCATCACACCGGCCCGGAGAGGAGAGCGGCGCACTGAGAGGAAATACATGCTGCACTCATCCCTTCACGAGACTCACAGAGACAGAGAGAGAGAGAACATCTGTACCCTACATGTTCTGCTGAACGCACACCACACACACACAGTAACACACACACACACACACACCACACACACACACACACACATGCACACACACATACACACANCAGCGTGTGCTGTCTCTAATGTTTGTATGGAAGCAATGACATGACCATAACTAAAGACTAAAAGCATCTTTCATGTTCTGTGACACTGCAGAAGTCTGCACAGTGTCCACGACAGCTAGAAGCTAGCATGGCTGCTGTTGTTGGAGTCTGCTGAGCGTGTCTGCTGGCTCACCCATAGATGCAGGAGATGTCAATGACCACGTCAATCATGTCACAGCAGAGCTCGTACGTCTGCATGTCCACTGGACTGCTGTCTGTGGCGATGTAGATCTTACTGACCACATCAAACAGGAAGGCCTTCTCAATGCTGGAGTTCTGAAAACACACAGAAGAGGAATGTCAGGTGAATGTTACCTGTTCATTACCTCCTGAGCCAAGCTGAGATACCGACAGACAGACCAGTGCATTTCTTTCATTGTCTTTACAGAAGGTATGTCACACACACACACACCTGTCAGTCAGCTGGGAAAACTAAAAACAAGACAGGACAGCATTGATCAGCATCATTCTATCTGATCAGTTCTAATCCTTTGATCATATGAATCTAAACCAAAGTGTCACCATCTTTGTAGAGAGGCTGCTACATGAGTGGAAGTGTGATAGATGAGAGGATCCAGACACCTGAACGAGTCACGAGCACTTTACAACATCACACAGAGCTTAACATGGTCACGTATGGACTCTACAGAGTTAAACAGAACCAACAATCCAGAGCAGCCTTTGGACTTCCTCTGAGCAAGCGGTTGGTGGTGAAGGAACCAAAAGCTGGAGAGACGTGTTCCCGTTTCTTTGTCCAGCATTCTGCAGTAGTTGAAGAGACGTGTGGTCCAGACCCACATGCAGAGAGCTGCAGTGATCCAGTCCAGCTGTAACAAACATGTACGAGTCTCTCAGAGTCGTCATCACACAGACAGGGCTTCACTTTGGCCAACAGCCTGAACTAGAACCAGACAGAACTGTTTGTCTGATTTAAAAGCACTGTCAAAGGTTAGAAGCACCTACGGGATCGAGAGCACCAGTACCTTCACGTAACTGGTCTGAACGGCTAAAAACAACAAATCTCTGTCTAGCTTTCATTGAGACGCAGAAAATTAATGTCCAACCATGACTT